CGGTGAGGGCCATAGAAGAGGGCCCACAGTGAGGGCCACAGAACAGAGACCACGCTGAGGGCCATAGAAGAGGGCCCACAGTGAGGACCACAGAACGGGGACCATGGTGAGGGCCACAGAGCAAGGACCGCGGTGAGGGCCATAGAAGAGGACCCACAGTGAGGGCCACAGAACGGGGACCATGGTGAGGGCCATGGAACAGGGACCACGGTGAGGGCCATAGAAGAGGGCCCACAGTGAGGGCCACAGAACAGGGACCATGGTGAGGGCCATAGAAGAGGGCCCACGGTGAGGGCCACAGAACAGGGACCACGGTGAGGGCCATAGAAGAAGGCCCACAGTGAGGGCCACAGAACGGGGACCATGGTGAGGGCCACAGAGCAAGGACCACGGTGAGGGCCACAGAACAGGGACCACGGTGAGGGCCATAGAAGAGGACCCACAGTGAGGGCCACAGAACGGGGACCATGGTGAGGGCCATGGAACAGGGACCACGGTGAGGGCCATAGAAGAGGGCCCACAGTGAGGGCCACAGAACAGAGACCACGCTGAGGGCCATAGAAGAGGGCCCACAGTGAGGGCCACAGAACGGGGATCATGGTGAGGGCCATGGAACAGGGACCACAGTGAGGGCCATAGAAGAGGGCCCACGGTGAGGGCCACAGAACAGGGACCACGGTGAGGGCCATAGAAGAAGGCCCACAGTGAGGGCCACAGAACGGGGACCATGGTGAGGGCCACAGAGCAAGGACCACGGTGAGGGCCACAGAACAGGGACCACGGTGAGGGCCATAGAAGAGGACCCACAGTGAGGGCCACAGAACGGGGACCATGGTGAGGGCCATGGAACAGGGACCACGGTGAGGGCCATAGAAGAGGGCCCACAGTGAGGGCCACAGAACAGAGACCACGCTGAGGGCCATAGAAGAGGGCCCACAGTGAGGGCCACAGAACGGGGATCATGGTGAGGGCCATGGAACAGGGACCACAGTGAGGGCCATAGAAGAGGGCCCACGGTGAGGGCCACAGAACAGGGACCACGGTGAGGGCCATAGAAGAGGGCCCACGGTGAGGGCCACAGAACGGGGACCATGGTGAGGGCCACAGAGCAAGGACCATGGTGAGGGCCACAGAACAGGGACCACGGTGAGGGCCATAGAAGAGGGCCCACAGTGAGGGCCACAGAACAGAGACCACGCTGAGGGCCATAGAAGAGGGCCCACAGTGAGGGCCACAGAACGGGGACCATGGTGAGGGCCATGGAACAGGGACCACGGTGAGGGCCATAGAAGAGGGCCCACAGTGAGGGCCACAGAACAGGAACCACGGTGAGGGGCCACGGGGTAGGGGGAAATGTAGAAGCCATAGAAGAGGGCCCAGGGTGCCAGGATGACAGTGCAGAGAGCACGGTACAGGGGCCAGTTGGGACTCTGGGAACTGCCCATGACCTGGCTAGGGAATGGGCCCAGAGCCTTGTGCTTTAATTCTTTGAGATACAAACATGTAACATGCATTTCCCCATATTCCCTGTACCTGAGGGCCAGGTGCATGGTTCTAGGCTCCCCTGCCCTTGCCCCAGCCAGTTCTAGAAGTTTCCATCTTCCCAGTGCACTGTGTCCTGGAACACCCCTCAGTTTTCTGTCTGCTGGGGCAGCTGCCACTCTCTGTGGGACCTTCACACATCTCTTCTGTGTGTCCGGCTGGTGTCCCCAGGTCTTTTCTGCTGCTCTCGAGGTTGAGGGGTGCCCCGTGGTTACAGGCCCCTGCTTGTCTGTGTGCCCATGGACTCGGGGCTCCTTCCTCCACAATGACAAGGATGTCCCCGTGGGAGCTGGGGACGGGGCTGGCGCTTGTCCTCTGGACACAAGGTAGGTCAGGGTGATGCTGGGGGTGCCTAGGCCCTCAGGACTTCCTGCTGAAGCACTGGCCAGGGAGGGTCTGTGAGCAGCCCTGCTCCCGAATCACTGGCAGACACAGACCCCCAGGGGACTGTGGGATGCTCGAGGTGTCTGGAAGTGGGGAGGTGTGGGGGTGTCTCCTGAGCTATGCTGGTCAGCGGTAGCTGCTGTCCACAGTGGGCAGTGGGGCTGGGACTGGGAATGGTGGGATCTTGGGGCACAGCCTGGGTTCTTGTGGCCAGCTTAGGGAAGGACACTGTTTGCACAATGATTCAATAAACAAACACCGGTTCAAATCAGAGCAGCCCCGCCAGAAAATCAAATTTACCTTCTCACCTTCTCCCACTCACCCCGCCCGGGGTGGGGGTGTGGGGGGCCCTGACTCACCTGGCTCCCCGCAGCGGCTTCCCCAAACCCCTGAATCCCAGCACGGACTTCCTGGCTGCAGACAACGGTTCCTGTAAGGAGCTGCCCTTGTCCACTTCCTGCTGAGGGCACCAGGCATGTGGGGACCCCCAGCAGGGCGACCTCTTGCAGACCTCTTGCAGAGTTGTGGACCTCCCGTGTGCCTGTGTGAAAGGGGTGCCCGGCTGCTTCCGTCAGGGCTGATAGTTAAGGACTTAGTGAATTAGACCCTGAAAGCCGTGGAGACGTGAGGGCACCAGGCCCCACACCGTACCCCACTCCTGCACCTCTCCTCACAGGCCACTCCCACACCCCACACTGCCACTCTTCTCTGCACCCTACCCCCAACCCTGCTCCCCCACCCAAGCCTCACCTCTGCATCCCCACTCCCCACCCCTGTACCCCCACCCTTGCACCCCCATGATCTCTATAACCCTCCCCACCCACTCCTATACCCCAGAGCCCCACTACCTCCCTCCAGCCCCACCCCCCACCCCATACACCCCATGCCTCCACACTTAACAACCCACCCCACCCTGCACCCCACAACCTTGCCCCCAACCCACATCCCCACATGCATACCCCATTCTGCATTTCCACCCTCACCCTGCACCCCAGTACGCCCACCTCATGCTCCCATGCCCCCCACCTCCATAATCCATCCCTGCACTCTCCTACCCCCACCCGCACACCTGCACTCCCACCTCTGTACCCCCACACCCACCACCTACTTGGGGTTTGTTGGGTCTGCACTGCCCCTGAGAGCTGAGATGGGGTTGAGACCTGAGGGCTTCAGCCAGGCCCGTGGCCCGTGGGGGCCCCTGTCCTGGGTGGGGAGCGGGTGTCTCTCCACCTGCCCTTGTCCTGGAAGGCTGCTTCGCCCGAGCCCAGCTGGGACGCTCCAACCCCTGCCCCCAGGAGCCCAGGAGCAGGCTGTGACTCGGGGGGGGGGGGGATGCCCCTCACCTGAACCAGGAGGGAGTCTCGGCTCCCCACAAACACAGCTATCAGTGCCACTTCCGTCCCCTGTGCGTCAGCCACAGATAACCGCAGGCCAGGCCTCTGGCCAGCTCAGCCTCAGGTCAGGGAGGGGGAACTACGTGCCTGCCCCGCGGGACCCCCTTCCCAGGAGGACACTGAGGCTCAGAGGCGGGGCTGGCCACAGGATCCTTCCCGCACTCATCCTGGCCCCTAAAAGCAGCAGAGGCTGGCGGCTTGGGGCGGGGTCCTGGGGGGGGACCCTGCTTTGTGATACCCCAGGGGTCCCCAGAATCGCTGAGTGTCCAGGCAGGAGTCTCAGGATGGGGATGGCACAGGCACAGTTGGCCCCTGTGACCCCACAGCTGCCTCGGCACTGCTTCTGGGGATGGGGCTGGTGGATGACCTGGTTGGATGGCCCAGCCCGCTCTGACTGCAGTGTGGCCCCTCTGTGGCCAGCTACCGACTCAGACCAGAGAAGGTCATGGTGGGCCCTGGGGCCTGTGTCCTCCCCAGGGGCAGAAGGAGCCACTCAGCCCTCCTGTCTTCAGCTGCCCACCTGAAACCCTCACATAAGCCGGGGACCAACCTCAGGGTCTCACCACCAAGGCTGCCACTCAGCTCCAGAGACCCCGAGCTAGCTTCGAGCAAGGCACAGACCATGGGCCGGAGAGGCAATGGTTCCTGGCCTCCACACACACTCACACACTCACACACACACTTACTCTCACACTCATACTCGCATACACAAACTCACACATTCACACAAACTCACACACACCCTCACATATGCACACTCACATTACATTCACACTCAAACACACACACATACACACACTCACATATGTACACTCACACTTACTCTCACACTCATACTCACATACACAAACCACACTCTCACACACATTTTCGCACTCACACACATCCTCACTCACATACACACACTCACAGTAACACACTCACTCACACACTCATGTACTCAAACTCACACACACACTCTTACACGCTCTCATACTCATACAAACTCACACTCACACTTTCACATACTCATCAAACTCACACTCACATATTCAGTCACACACACTTTCCCTCTCGCACATTCATGTACTCATCCAAATTCACACTCACACACTCACACACAGTCACTCACACACTCACACTTTCACTCATATACTCACTCTCATTCACACACACTCACACATCAGTTTCTCCCTCTCACACACACTCACTCTCTCACACACACCCTCAGTCACATGCTCACTCTCACACACACTTTCACACATTCTCGGTCTCACACATTCGCTCTCACTCACTCACTCACTCACTCACACATTCAACAGTCACACACTCACCCACTCACCCATTCATTCACCTATCCTCTCCTTCCCCCCATCCTCATCACTTAGCATCTGGGCTGCAGCAGCCTCCGGGGTGACTCGGCCCGGGCCCAGGCTGAGGGGACTTTTTCCCGGGGAGGTGCTGGGCCATGGCCTGGCAGGCTGCCTGTGTGCCAGGACTTGGGGAGCCTTCAGGAATCCGGCCGCGCCTGGCAGGCACGCCCATCTCAACCGAAGTCAGTGCCCACTGTTTACCTGGTTAGGGACCCACCGGCCCTGCCCCACTTGCTCACGTGAAGCCCTAGGGCTGGTGCCAGCGCCAGGCCTACAAAAGGCTCCTGCACCCTTACCCCCTCCTAGAGGCGCCGACTTCTCCTCCAGGATGGGCCTCGGCCGGAGGAAGCTGGCCCCCCTCTGGGCCCTGGCTCTGGCCCTGGCCTGTGCCCGGCACACAGGTGAGGGTCGGCGGCCAGGGCACCAGGTCTTGGCTGGAGGGTCCCAGCTGCCAGGGTCCCGGCTGTGGGGGTCTCAGCTACGGGGGCCCTGGCTAGAAGAGTTCCAGCCGCAAGGGTCCTGGCTATGGTGGGGGTCCCAGCTGAAAGGGTCCTGGCTTCAGGGGCCCTGGCTGCAGGGGGTCTGGGCTGAGTGGATCCCGGCTGTGGAGGGGGGTCCTGACTGCGGGGGTCCCGGTGGCTGGGTCTTTCTCCACGTAGTAGCTGTCCCCACCTTGTAGGGTCTTGTGGGCTGCTGCAGTGGGTGCATACTTCCCGCAGCTCACTCTGGGCCTCTGCAGCGAACTGCCCCTCCCGCCCCTCCCCAACCCCTCTCCTGCCTGGGCCTGAAGTGTCTCCTGGGGTCTCAGGCTCTGGGCGGGGTGGGCATGTCCAGGTGCTCTCTGCCCCGCAGGGCTCAGAGCCAGGATCCCCCATTCCCACTCTAGCTGCCCCCCTGGGGTCCCGAGCAGAGGACACCAGGGTGTTGGATGGGTCTTCCCCACCCTTGCTGGTGCCAAGGGGTCTCTGGATGGGGCTCCAGCGAGGCTCCGTGCTTCCAGCCCGGCTCCCGGTACCCCAGAAATGGACCCACCCGCTCTGTCTGTGGCTGGGAGTCCCTGGGTGCACCCCGGTCCCTGCCATCCTGACTCCCAACCGGCAGCCCCCACATGTCCTGCATTCGCATCAGGGGCGGCCATGTCCCCTGCTCCCATCAGGGGCGGCCGTGTCCCTTGCTCCTGTCAGGGCCATCCCTGCGTCCCCCCGCCCAGTGCCATACCTCCTCCCATGCAGTGAGGGCCACAGGGAGCTGTGGCAGTCCTGAGGGACTCACGTCCAGGCCCCCCGGGACCCCAGAGCCTGCCCCCCAGCTCCTGCCGCTCAGACCCCCTGTCTCCTGCAGGCCTGGCCCAGCACAGCCCCACAGACTTCGGCCTCTCCCTGGATCTGCATCGCACGCCACAGAGCCCAGCCGGTGAGCCCTCCCTCTGCGCCCCAGGGCTCAGGTTGGGGTCATGCTGTGGGCAGAGAGACAGAGGCAGGCTGGGGGAACTTCTCTCCAGTCCCTCAAGTCGGAGGGGGGGGTGGGGGAGGGGCGACCCGGGCTGTCTCCCAGCGAGAGCCCCTCCCTGGCTTCATCTGGCCCAGGTGTCCCTGAGAATCCAGCCCCTGGGAACACGGGGCCATTGGGCCAAGGGCTGGGGTCCCTCCTGGCCAGTGTCCCAGGCTGAGGTGGCTCTGGGCCTGCGCCTGGATGTGGGAGCCAGGCCAGGGGCTTTCCCTGAGGCCTGGGGTCACTGTGCCCGTTTCTGCAGGTGACTCAGTGCGTGGGGTGACCATGCTCCCGCCCCTGCGGACTGTCCCTGTGGTGCGAGGTGAGTGAGACCCGAGACTGGGCGGGATGCGGGGGTCTCCAAGTGAGACCCAAGACTGGGCGGGATGCGGGGGTCTTCAAGTGAGACCCGAGACTGGGTGGGACGCGGGGGTCTCCAAGTGAGACCCAAGACTGGGCGGGATGCGGGGGTCTTCAAGTGAGACCCGAGACTGGGTGGGACGCGGGGGTCTCCCTCCCTCTCCGGGGCTCCCCAGCCTTCCCGCACCTTGAGTCCGAGCCTCAGGTGGGCCCCGCTCTGGCCGCAGCACTGAACCCCGCGCACAACGGCCGGGTGTGCAGCACGTGGGGCGACTTCCACTACAAGACCTTCGACGGCGCAGTCTTCCGCTTCCCCGGGCTCTGTAACTACGTCATGTCTGCTCACTGCGGCAGCGCCTACGAGGACTTCAACGTGCAGCTGCGGCGCTGCCCCAAGGCCAATGCCACCACCCTCTGCGGCGTCACCATGAAGCTGGATGGCGTGGTCCTGCAGCTGTCCCAGCAAGTCATGCTGGTGAATGGCAACCCGTGAGTCTGCCCCCCGGAGAGGGCGCCTGGGCCCGGCAGCCCGCGGGCCAGTACAGGGAGCCCCTGAGCCCGACCCTCTCTCCGCAGAGTCCAGCTGCCCTTCAGTCAGTTTGGAGTCACCATCGAGCAAAGCGGCAGCTTCCTGAAAGTCCTGGCCCGCCTGGGCCTGGTCTTCATGTGGAACCAGGACGACAGCCTGCTGGTGAGCCCGAGGGGGGGACAAAGGCCTCGGCTGTGGGAGGGCGGGCCCAGAGGAGGGTGACTCTGCGGCCCCCTGCCCTGTGTGGCTTCATGGCCTCGTCCCTCTCGGAGAGCTCCCACACCCGCTGTCCTTGCCTCCTGGGCGGGGCCTGGGGAGGTCAGCATCTGGCGTATCCCCACAGCTGGAGTTGGACGCCAAATATGCGAACCAGACCTGCGGGCTCTGTGGAGACTTCAACGGAATCCCTGACCTCAGCGAGTTCTTCCCCCACGGTGAGGCCTGTCGGAGCCCCGCTCAGCTGTCCACCCCCACCCCCTGCACCTGCATGCAAGCTTGCACACATGATCCCGATGCACACACGGCCGTGCTCGCATTGCACAGCCCTACCACACACGTGCACACGTGCACACACAGCCCAGCACATGTGCACACATGCCTACACGGCCCAGCAGCACAGCCTGGCACACGCGTGCACACGCAGCACGCTGCCTGCTGTCAGCTGAACTGGGGCAGCTCTTGGCTGCCGTTGCTCTCAGGCTGCTGCTCTGCCTCAGGGACCCCAGCACAGCCTCAGCCGGAGCCGCACCTGCCTCCAGTTGGGCCCTGGAGCCTTTGCCCTGTCCTGCCGCCCTCCCCAGCTTCCTGGTGGCGCTGAGCTGCCTACGTGCCCTCTGAGCAGGGGCGCAGGGCTGCTCCCCAGTCCTTGGCACTGTACACACGGCCCAGCACATGTACACATCCTCTGTGTACATGAAGCCCAGGGGGTTCTTCTGCATTGTCTCGGGCTCCTCAAAGGCCTGAGCAGGTGCAGCTGTGGCCACAGTGGGGTGGGGGAGGTGTGGAGGGGCAGCTCAGGACATGGGGTGAGGAGAGGAGAGATGTGGGGATGAGGGACGTGTGGTGAGGACCGAAGGGGATGCCGGGGTGAGGAGAAATGGGATGCAGGGGTGAGGAGAAGAGAAGCCTAGTGATAGGAGAGAAGAGATAGATGTGGAGGTGAGGAGAAGAGGGACAGAGGGGTAAGGAGAGGGGGGCGTGAGTTGAGAGGAGGGATGTGCGGGTGAGAAGAGGCAGGATGATGTGGGGGTGAGGAGAGGCAGGATGTGAGGGTGAGAAGCATCAGGTGGGGGTGAGGAGAGGAGGGACATAGGGGTGAGGAGCGGTGGGTGTGGGGGTGAGGAGAGGTGGGATGTGGCGATGAGAAGCGTCAGGAGGAGTGAGGAGAGGAGGGACATAGGGGTGAGGAGCGGTGGGTGTGGGGGTGAGGAGAGGTGGGATGTGGCGATGAGAAGCGTCAGGAGGAGTGAGGAGAGGAGGGACATAGGAGTGAGAAGCGTCGTGTGGGGGTGAGGAGAGGTGGCTGCAGGGGTGAGGAGAGGCGGGCGGGCACAGAGCCTGTGGTTGTGCCTCTGCAGGTGTCTGGGTGAGCCCCCTGGAGTTTGGGAACTTGCAGAAGATGGACGGCCCTACAGAGCAGTGCCAGGACCCTGTCCCCGAGCCCCCCAGGAACTGCTCCACCAACACCGTAAGTGGGAGTGAAGGGTGGGGGCTCTGCTCCCCTGGAGGGTGGGACTGAGCCCGAGTCCCCCCTGCAGAGCATCTGTGAGGAGCTCCTGCTTGGCCGGCTCTTCTCCGGCTGCAGCGGCCTGGTGGAGCCCAGCGGCTACCTGGAAGCGTGCCAGCAGGATGTGTGCGCCTGTGAGCACAGCGACATCACCAGCTGCGTGTGCGACACGCTGGCCGAGTTCTCCCGCCAGTGCGCCCACGCTGGAGGGCGTCCTCTGGACTGGCGCAGCCCGGACCTCTGCCGTGAGTGCCCGCCCGCCCCGCCCGCCCGCACCTGAGGGGGGACTGACTGTGCGTGACCAAGCTGTCCCCCCGCAGCCGCCACCTGCTTCCTCGGCATGCAGCACCAGGAGTGCGGCTCGCCCTGCACCGACACCTGCTCCAATCCCGAGAGCTCCCAGCTCTGCGGGGAGCACTGCATGGCCGGCTGCTTCTGCCCGAAAGGTGAGACAGGAACCGCCCTCCTGGCCTAAATGGGGCCGGGCGTGGCCGCTGGCCCCGCCCCGCCAAGGCCCCGCCCCGCCACAGGCCCCGCCCCGCCACAGGCCCCGCCTCATCACGGCCCCAGCCTCACCAAGGCCCCGCCCCCTGCCCGTGGCCCCGCCCCTAATGAGATCATGCGGACACAGGCCCCACCCACCGGGTTCCCACCCACCATAGGCCCCGCCTCACCAGGGCCACGCCCCTGACGAGACCATTCCCCGGGCGGGCGCAGGCTGCACAATGGTCACAGGCCCTGCCCCTGTCAGGACCCCGCCTCGCCACAGGCCCCCTCTCACCACAGGCTCCACCTCACCACAGGCCCAGTCTCACCAAGGCCCTGTCCCTGATGAGACCATGCCCGGGGCACAGACCCCGCCTCACCACAGGCCCCGCCTCACCACAGGCCCCGCCCCGCCACAGGGCCAACTCTACCACAAGCCCCGCCCTGCCACAGGCCCCGCCTCATCTCAGCCCCAGCCTCACCAAGGCCCCGCCCCCTCCGAGACCACGCCCTGCCATAGGCCCCGCCTGCGACGAGACTATGCCCTGCCATAGGCCCCGTCCTGATGAGACCACGCCCTGCCCGTGGCCCCGCCCCTAACTAGATCCCGCTCTGGCACAGACCCCTCCCACCGAGTCCCCACCCACCACAGGCCCCGCCTCACCAGGGCCACGCCCCTGACGAGACCACGCCTCGGGCGCAGGCTGCGCCGGTCACAGGCCCTGCGCCTGTCCGGACCCGCCTCGCCACAGGCCCCGCCTCGCCACAGGCCCAGCCCCACCACAGGCCCCGCCCTGTGCCCCTCGGTCGCCCCGACTCCCACCCGCCCCTGCCCCCAGCTGGGCTCAGTCGTCTCCTGAGGGACGGTTGGGTGGGGCGACTCCGCCACACCCGGCGGTCCTCGGGGTGACTCCTGGCAGAGTGCTCCGGGGGACGGAAGCGGCGCTCACCGCAGCTCTCCTCCCCCGCCCAGGGACGGTGTTCGACGACATCGGCAAGACCGGCTGCATCCCCGTGTCCCAGTGCCACTGCGTGCACAACGGCGTCCCCTACGCGCCCGGCGCGGGCTACTCCACAGACTGCACCCAGTGGTAGGCCCGCGCGTGCGCAGTGGGCGGCGGGGGGCTCTCCGCGGGCCTCCTCGCGGCGGGGACGCCTCACGGCCTCTTGCCCACAGCACCTGCGTCGCGGGCCGGTGGAGCTGCCAGGAGCGGCCGTGCCCGGGCACCTGCGCCGTCCTGGGCGGCGCCCACTTCTCCACGTTCGACGAGAGGCAGTACACGGTGCACGGGGACTGCAGCTACGTGCTGGCCAAGGTGCGGGGCCGGGGCCCCTGGAGGCGGGGGCGGGCGGGCACGGCTCTGGGTGGGGGCGGGGCCTGGCCTCTGGGGGCGGGGCCTGGCCTCTGGGGGCGGGGCCTGGCCGCGGGGGCGGGCCCTGGCTGCTGGGGCGGGGCCTGGCCGCTGGGGGCGGGGCCTGGCCGCTGGGGGCGGGGCTGAGGACGGCTGTCCCTGTCCCCCCAGCCCCTGCACGGCAGCGCCTTCTCCGTGCTGGCCGAGCTGCGCAGGTGCGGACTGTCAGAGAGTGAGACCTGCCTGAAGAGCGTGACGCTGAGTCTGGACGCAGGGCAGACGGTGAGCAGTGTCCCCAGGGATGGCCCCTCACCCCCCACTGCAGGCCTGGGGGTTCTGGCCTCTAGACGCCCGTCCGGGAAGGAGGGAGCCGGGCTTCCCGTCTCCTTCTCCGTCGGCAAAGGCAGACCCCTGGGACTGAGTGCATGGGGTAGCCTGGCTTGATCCCCGCACTGCCAGGTCCCCTGAGCACCTGGGTATGGCCCCACCCCCGAGAAATGATGGCTGAGGGACACAGGTCCTCCTGTGAGAGGTTGATTGAGGGGCAGGGGGTGCTGGCGTGGTCCCTGGGACTGGTGTGAGTGTCCTGCCCCCATGCCCCCTCCCCGCCAGGTGGTGGTGATCAAGGCCAGCGGGGAAGTGTTTGTGAACCAGATCTACACACAGCTGCCCGTGTCTGCAGGTGGGCCCTGCCCCTTGGGCCCCCCTGCCCCAGTCCACCCCACTCCCCTGCCAACCCTGCCCCTGCCCCAGCCCGCCCCAGCACTCCCCACGCCCTCCCAGCCCAGCAAGCCTGGCCCCAGGGCCCCCAGCCAATGTCACCCTGCCCTGTGTCCCCAGCCAATGTCACCCTGCCCTGTGCCCCCAGCCAATGTCACCCTGCCCTGTGCCCCCAGCCAACGTCACCCTGTTCCGGCCTTCTACCTTCTTCATCGTCGCCCACACACAGCTGGGTCTGCAGCTGGAAGTGCAGCTGGTGCCGATCATGCAGGTGTTTGTGCAGCTGGAGCCCCAGCTGCGGGGCCAGACCTGCGGTAAGTGGTACCAGGCAGGCACCTCCCTCCCACCCCAGCCCCCCACCCCAGCCACTCAGATGGGGCTCATGCGTCCCCTCGTCCCAGGCCTCTGTGGAAACTTCAACCAGAACCAGGCCGATGACTTCCGCGCGCTCAGCGGCGTGGTGGAGGGCACCGCTGCCGCCTTCGCCAACACCTGGAAGACCCAGGCCTCCTGCCCCAATGTCAGGAACAGCTTCGAGGACCCCTGCTCCCTCAGCGTGGAGAACGGTGTGTGCCCGCTCCTCTGGCAACAGGGGTTTCCCGGCCCAGGGTGGAGGGGCAGGGCCTGGACCGACTCGCACATGGTCAGGCCACAGCAGCCCTGGCTCATACAGGGCTCACCCGGGGCCTGTGACCCCCGGCTGTCGTGACCCCACCACCTCTGTCCACAGAGAAGTATGCTGAGCGCTGGTGCTCCAGACTGACAGACGCCCAGGGCCCCTTTGCCCCATGCCACGCTGTGCTGAACCCGACCATCTACTACTCGGTAAACCTGTGCCCGGCGCCCTCTTGCCCCTTGCTGCCTCCCAGGGTCCTCAACCCCCACAGCACCCTGCACGGTCCCACCCTCCCTGATGGTCTTGACCACGAGCTCGCCGCCACGAGGCAGTGGCTCATGTGGGTCCAAGGGGAGAACTGGCTCAGAGGGGAGGCTGGAGGTCCACAACCAGCTGCAGAGGCGGGTCCAGTGGAAGGCTGGGAGGACCGGGAGGGGCCATGGGCCACAGGGGGCTGCTGACGCCCGCGCCCACCCCCAGAACTGCATGTTCGACACGTGCAACTGCGAGAAGAGTGAGGACTGCATGTGCGCGGCCCTGTCCTCCTATGTGCACGCCTGCGCTGCCAAGGGCGTGCTGCTGGACGGCTGGAGGGACGGCGCCTGCAGTGAGTGGCCTGCGCTGCTGGGGACCCTGCGGCTGCAGCAGAGGCTCCCAGGCCCTGATGGGGCTCGGAGGGTCCAGGAGACTCCAGCCCCAGCTGGGGCTCAGCTGCAGGGGCTGGGCCGGGGGGGTTCGGGTCATGGGGATGGGATGGACGGGGGGTGGGCATGGGGATGGGCCTGAGGGATCACTGGGACAGGCTTGGGGGTCAGTTCAGGGGACCAAGCGTTCACCTCACGACCCCCTGCCATCTCACAGTGAAGCCCACGACCAACTGCCCCAAGTCCCTCACCTACCAGTACCACATCCGCACCTGCCAGCCCACCTGCAGAGCCCGGGGTGGTGAGGACATCACCTGTGCCATCGGCTTTGTGCCCGTGGACGGCTGCACCTGCCCCCCTGACACCTTCCTGGACGATCAAGGGAAGTGTGTGCCAGCCAGCAGCTGCCCCTGCTACCACGGGGGCTCCGTGGTCCCCAGTGGGGAGACGCTGCATGAGAATGGAGCCCTCTGGTGAGAGCCCGCCCCAGGGGGTGGGTGTGGGGGAGGCGCGTGGTGGCCCCTCTGACCAGGCCCCTGTTGTTACAGCACCTGCACACAGGGCACGCTCACCTGCATGGGAAAACCGAGCTCCACCCCAGGTGAGCTGGGCAACAAGGAGGCACCTATGACCCCCACAAAGCTCAAGGGCTCTCCACAGGGGCCGGTGCCCAGCGTCCGAGTTATCTGGGCTAACACATACAGGCGCACACCCACACCGTGCAGTCTTAGCTCGGAAGCCACACCTGCTGGGTGCTTCCCGGGGCTCCTGACAGCATCTCTCTCCACAGTCTGTGCCCCACCCATGGTTTACGTCGACTGCCGCAATGCCACTCCCGGGGTAGCCGGGGCTGCCTGCCAGAAGAGCTGTCACACCCTGGACATGGACTGCGTGAGTCCAGAGCTAACTGTGCCACCTGCTCCCTGTGCCCCTGCTGCCTCATGTCCCTGCCTGCGGCTCCTGCCCTGCCCCGTCTGACGCGAATCCCACCCACAGTACAGCACCCAGTGCGTGGCCGGCTGTGTGTGTCCCGATGGGCTGGTGGCTGACGGCAGCGGTGGCTGCGTGGCCGAGGAGGAGTGTCCCTGCATGCACAACGAGGCTAGTTACCAGCGTGGCCAGAGCATTCGCGTGGGCTGCAACACCTGGTGTGTACGCACACAAGTTTGTGCATACATATGTGTGTCATGTGTGCATGTGCTTCCATGTGTATTGTATGCTGCATGCGTGTGTCAGTATGCATGTATGTGTCTGTGCACATGTTTGCCCATGTGTACAATGTAAACAATGCCATATGTACATGATGTGCTTGTACATGTTTCTATGTGTGCATGCATATGGCCATGTGTGTCTCTTTGTGTACATCAGTGTGTGGTACATGTGTGTGCAGTCGGGCTCTCGCGGCAGGGCCGTCCCGGCCCATGGAACCTACGCCCCTCATGGCTAACAGCTTCCCCCACCCCCAGCACCTGTGAGAACAGGAAGTGGCGCTGCACGGACGAGCCCTGCCTGGCCACCTGTGCAGTGTACGGGGATGGTCACTACCTCACCTTCGACGGCCAGCGCTACAGCTTCAGTGGGGACTGCGAGTACACACTGCTTCAGGTACAGGCTCAGTGCCCGAGGACGGGACAGACTCAGGTATGGGACAGACCCGGGGACGGGCCACAGGCCCCACATACCCCAACGGCCCCTCTTCCCCAGGATCACTGTGGCGGCGGCAATGGCAGTTCCCAGGATGCCCTGCGAGTGGTCACTGAGAACGTGCCCTGTGGCTCCACGGGCACCACCTGCTCCAAGGCCATCAAGCTCTTCCTGGGGGTGAGTGGGGTGGGTGGGGCACCCCGAGGGCCCACGCTGTGCCGCAGCCCTGAGTGACCCTCTCCTCACAGAGCTTCGAGCTGAGGCTGAGTGACGGGAAGGCAGAGGTGATCGAGAAGGCCCCGGGCCGGGCAGCGCCCTTCTCCATCCGCCAGATGGGCATCTATCTGGTGGTGGACACGCAAGTGGGCCTGGTTCTGCTGTGGGACAAGAAGACCAGCCTCTTCCTCAGGCTTGGACCCGAGTTCAAGGTGAAACACCGGGCGAGGGCCTGGGGATGGGCAGCAGGAAAGAGAGACAGAGATCTAGAGATACAGAGAGAGACAGAGCTACAGAGACAGAGAGACAGAGTCAGAGAGACAGAGTCGCAGAGCAACAGAGACAGAGTCACAAAGAGACAGAGACAGAGAGAGACAGATTCAGAGATAGAGATGCAGAGACATAGACAGAGAGAGACAGAGAGACACAGAGAGACAGCAACAGGCAGAGACACAGAGAAACAGAGTCAGACACAGAGACAGAAAATGAAGACAAAGACAGAGAGACAGATAGGCAGAGACACAGAGATAGAAACAGACAGATGGAGACAGAGATACAGAGAGACTGAGACAGAGAGATGAAGACAGAGACAGAGATGGGGGAAGAGGAGGGCTGGTGTGTGTGCGCGCGCACGCGTGTGTGTGTGTGTGTGTGTGTGTGTCCAAGTCCCCTGGGACTAGGTGACCCTATGTGACTTGTCCCCTCTTGTGGACACTGGCCATCCTCAGGAGAGGTCTAGTCCCCACAAAGACAAAGTCAGTGTCCTGGGGCCTGCCTTAGGGACTCACCTCTCATCATTCTGGGTCCTGCATGGGGGTACGTGAAGCCCACTTTGGCTCCCCACAGGAGCCCCATACTGTGGGGAGGCTGAGAGGACACAGCCTGTGTCCCTGGGTGCTGTGGGGCCTCAGGCAACAGGTGGATCCCCCCAACCCTGCCCCTGTGGGTGGCACCAAGTCACCAGCTGTGCATCCGCAGGGGAGGGTCTGTGGGCTCTGCGGGAACTTCGACGACAAGGCCATCAACGACTTCACCACACGGGGCCAGTCCGTGGTGGGCAACGCCCTGGAGTTCGGCAACAGCTGGAAGTTCTCCCCGTCCTGCCCGGACGCGCCTGTCCCCAGAGACCCTTGCACGGCTAACCCCTACCGCAAGTCGTGGGCCCAGAAGCAGTGCAGCCTCATCAACAGTGCCACCTTCGCCGCCTGCCACGCTCATGTAGGCACGGGCACGTGGGTGGCACTCGGCGGGGCTGGGGGCCTGGGCAGGCCCTGCAGAGTCTGAGGAGCCTGTGTTCCCCCAGGTCGACCCCTCCAAGTACTACGAGGCCTGCGTGAGCGACGCGTGCGCCTGCGACTCCGGCGGGGACTGTGAGTGCTTCTGCACAGCCGTGGCCGCCTACGCCCAGGCCTGCCACGATGTGGGCGTGTGCGTCTCCTGGAGGACCCCTGACATCTGCCGTGAGTGGCCTGCGGGGCGGGTCTGGAGGAAGGGGCTGTCAGGGAGGTCGCAGGCTTAGAGAAGGTTCTGGAACCCCTGTTGCCCTGCCATATGGAGCCAGGGCGGGGCTTGGGCTGCCTCACCCCCTGGACATGTGTCCCTGCAGAGCCATCTCTCACCTGGGCACTGGACGGCAGATCCGGGAAAGAGGGACTGGGTAGGGGGACAAGCCCAGGGGAGAGGGACTTGGGGACCCCTGCTGAGCCCTCCCCATCCCCACAGCCCTCTTCTGCGACTACTACAACCCCGAAGGCCAGTGCGAGTGGCACTACCAGCCCTGCGGGTCGCCCTGCATGAGGACCTGCCGGAACCCCAGCGGTCGCTGCCTGCACAACCTGCCTGGCCTGGAGGGTGAGCGCTACTCACTGACCGCCCAGCCCAGGAGGCTCCTCTGGGGCGAGGCTTCCCTAGGGCATGGGAGGGGGCTCCCGTGGCGTGGGCGGGGCTCCCGTGGCATGGGAGGGGCTTCCCGTGATGTGGGTGGGACTGGGCGGGGCTTTACTGCCGTGTGGGTGGGTCTGGGCGGAGCTTCAGTGTCATGTGAGCGGGCCTGGGCGGGACTTCCCGGTTGTGGGCGGGGCTTCGGCACGATGTGGATGGGACTTCCCACTACGTGGGCAGGGCATCTCAGCTGGACTCAGGGGTCTCTTGCCCTGCAGGCTGCTACCCCAAGTGTCCCCCAGAGGCTCCCATCTTCGATGAAGACCAGATGCAGTGTGTGGCCACATGCCCACCCCCGCCGCCCGCCCCCTGCCAAGTTGCCGGCCAGGTTTACCTGCCCGGAGCACAGGTGCCTGCAGAGCAGAACTGCCAGTCCTGGTGAGAGGCGATGTAGGCGTGGGCGCGGGGCGGGGCCCCTCCGTGCTCACCCAGGTCCCCACCTGGTTCCGGCAGGTCTGAGCATGCGCCTCCCTGTCACTAGCTGGGGGGACGGGGGGAGGGGGGGCAGCAAAGGGGGATCGTTGATGATGAGCACTGGAGAGGAGTGGACTCAAGGCTCTGGGGGTGGCCACAGCCTCTCACGCGCCTCCTCTGTCCCCAGCATGTGCACTGAGAGTGGCGTGACGTGTGTATATGACAGCGAAGGTGAGTGGAGGGAGAACAGGGGGCTTGAGGGGGGTACTTAGCTCCAGACCCGCCTTACCCAGCTCAGCCCCTGAATCCCCGCCCAACCCAACCTCCTTAAGCCCCGCCCAGTTTGGCCTCAGCGCTGCCCAGGCCCTGTCCCTGATGCCCCCTCTGTGCCTAGCCTGCGTCTGCACCTATGGAGGGCTGAGATTCCACCCAGGCGACTCCATCTACAACACCACGGACGGCACTGGCGGCTGCATCTATGCCCACTGCGGGACCAATGGCACCATTGAAAGACGCATCCTGGAGTGCCCCACCACCACCTCTCCACCCCCCACCACCTTCACCTTCTCCACCCATGGTAAGGGGGCTGGGACGGGGTGGAGGCCAGGTTGCTCCAAGGTGATTCGCCTGTGTCGGCCTCACCTGCAGCCATGAAGTCCTCCTGTCCCTGGCAGGACAGGGTCCTGATGTGCTGCCCAAAGCACTGAAAGGGGTGGCCTGTGTGACAGCACAGGGGGGAGGGCATTATCTATACATGGCTGACCCGAGTTCGATCCCCGGCATGCCATGTGGTTCCCTGAGCACCACCAGGAGTAATTCCTGCATGCAAGCCAGGAGTAACCCCTGAGCATCACCAGGTGTGGCCCCAAAGCACTGAGGGGGTGCCTGGCCCCGGGGCTGAGCTGGCTTTTCACCTGGGGTCCTGCAGTGCAACCTCTCCTGGGTGCACCCATTTGCCCTTCCCAGTCCTTGCCTGTGAGCCCCCCAAGGCTTTCTCAGGGCTTCTCCAGGAACCTTAACTTTTGGGGTCTCACATGCAGATTCTGCTGGGGGTGTACCTGGGAAAGGGCAGTGAGCAAGGTTTCCTCTGGCAAGACCTGGCCCTCATCTTGTCCCCTTCTGCTCTCTGCCCCCAGGGGTGAAGTCCACGCCCACACCCAGCACACACCCCAGCCCCAGACCCACCACAGACCACCCAAAGCACAGCACGACAAGCCCAGAGCTGCCCACGACTACAGGCTGTGGAGAGGTTTGCCAGTGGTCACCATGGCTGGATGTCAGCCGCCCAGGACAGGGCAGGGACAGTGGTGACTTTGACACTCTGGACAACCTACGTGCCCATGGGCACTGGGTATGCCAGGCACCTCGGGAAGTGCAGTGCCGTGCAGAGGATGCCCCTGAGGTGCCACTGGAGGCACTGGGACAGCGTGTGCAGTGCAGCCTGGCCACAGGGCTGACCTGCTTCAACAAGGAGCAGACATCGGGGCTGTGCCACAACTACCAGGTCCGGGTGCTGTGCTGCAGCCCCCGGGCCTGCCCGCCCGCCTCTTCCACCACCAGGACCACGCCGAGGCACCACCACTCCACGCCCAGCCCCACGCCAGCCACAACCACGCCTCCACCCGACACCACGCCCAACCAGGTGTCCTGCCTCCATGAGCGCTGCTCCTGGACGTCCTGGATTGACGGCAGCTACCCCCAACCAGACAGAAACGGGGGCGACTTTGACACGTTCTCCAACCTGCGGGCCAAGGGCTATCACTTCTGCCAGGCACCGAGCAGGGTGGAGTGCCGGGCCGAGCGCTTCCCAGACACCCCCCTGGCTGACCTGGGGCAGACGCTGGTGTGTGACACGCAGGTGGGGCTGCTATGCCTGAACAAGGACCAGCTGCCGCCCATCTGCTACAACTACCAGATCCGCATCCAGTGCTGCGAGCTGGTGGACGAGTGCGGGGGCACCACCACCCCTGTCTCCTCCACCACCAGGACCACGCCCAAGTCCCACCACTCCATGCCCAGCCCCACGCCAGTCACAACCACGGCTCCACCCGACACCACGCCCAACCAGGTGTCCTGCCTCCATGAGCGCTGCTCCTGGACGTCCTGGATTGACGGCAGCTACCCCCAGCCAGACAGAAACGGGGGCGACTTTGACACGTTCTCCAACCTGCGGGCCAAGGGCTATCACTTCTGCCAGGCACCGAGCAGGGTGGAGTGCCGGGCCGAGCGCTTCCCAGACACCCCCCTGGCTGACCTGGGGCAGACGCTGGTGTGCGACACGCAGGTGGGGCTGCTATGCCTGAACAAGGACCAGCTGCCGCCCATCTGCTACAACTACCAGATCCGCATCCAGTGCTGCGAGCTGGTGGACGAGTGCAAGGGTTCCAACACCACCCCCTACTGGAAGACCATTCCCACTGCCAGCACGCCACATGTGCCCCCGCAAGCCACGAGCACAGCCACAACACACAGAACCACTGGCACCTCGGCCTGCCAGCCCCAGTGCTCCTGGACCCACTGGGTGGACGTGGACTTCCCGACCCCCGGGCCCCACGGAGGAGACTTTGAGACCTACAAGCACATCATCAGCAGAGGGGAGAAGGTCTGCGGACACCTGGACTACATCAACGGGCTGGAGTGCCGAGCCGAGAACCACCCCGATGTCAGCATCGACCAGCTGGGCCAGGTGGTGCAGTGCCACCCCGATGTGGGGCTGGTGTGCCGGAACAAGGACCAGAAGGGCCCTTTCAAGATGTGCCTCAACTACGAGATCCGGGTGCTGTGCTGTGAGCCCCAGAAGAACTGCCCTGTGACCCCCACCCACACTGTCCCGGCCACCAGCACAACCTCGTCCCCCACCACCAGCACAACCTCGTCCCCCACCACCAGCACAACCTCGTCTCCCACCACCAGCACAACCTCGTCCCCCACCACCAGCACAACCTCGTCCCCCACCACCAGCACAACCTCGTCTCCCACCACCAGCACAACCTCGTCCCCCACCACCAGCACAACCTCGTCTCCCACCACCAGCACAACCTCGTCCCCCACCACCAGCACAACCTCGTCCCCCACCACCAGCACAACCTCGTCTCCCACCACCAGCACAACCTCGTCCCCCACCACCAGCACAACCTCGTCTCCCACCACCAGCACAACCTCATCCCCCACCACCAGCACAACCTCGTCCCCCACCACCAGCACAACCTCGTCCCCCACCACCAGCACAACCTCGTCCCCCACCACCAGCACAACCTCGTCTCCCACCACCAGCACAACCTCGTCCCCCACCACCAGCACAACCTCATCTCCCATCACCAGCCCATCCTCCACTCCTGTAACCACTACCACTCCTGCCTCTACTTCTGAGACCTCCCACACCACACCCGGCACCTCGGCCTGCCAGCCCCAGTGCTCCTGGACCCACTGGGTGGACGTGGACTTCCCGACCCCCGGGCCCCACGGAGGAGACTTTGAGACCTACAAGCACATCATCAGCAGAGGGGAGAAGGTCTGCGGACACCTGGACTACATCAACGGGCTGGAGTGCCGAGCCGAGAACCACCCCGATGTCAGCATCGACCAGCTGGGCCAGGTGGTGCAGTGCCACCCCGATGTGGGGCTGGTGTGCCGGAACAAGGACCAGAAGGGCCCTTTCAAGATGTGCCTCAACTACGAGATCCGGGTGCTGTGCTGTGAGCCCCAGAAGAACTGCCCTGTGACCCCCACCCACACTGTCCCGGCCACCAGCACAACCTCGTCCCCCACCACCAGCACAACCTCGTCCCCCACCACCAGCACAACCTCGTCTCCCACCACCAGCACAACCTCGTCCCCCACCACCAGCACAACCTCGTCCCCCACCACCAGCACAACCTCGTCTCCCACCACCAGCACAACCTCGTCTCCCACCACCAGCACAACCTCGTCCCCCACCACCAGCACAACCTCGTCTCCCACCACCAGCACAACCTCGTCCCCCACCACCAGCACAACCTCGTCTCCCACCACCAGCACAACCTCGTCTCCCACCACCAGCACAACCTCCACTCCTGTAACCACTACCACTCCTGCCTCTACTTCTGAGACCTCCCACACCACACCCGGCACCTCGGTGACACACACCGTGACCTCCACCCCTGCGCCTAGCTCTGTGCCCCCCACCTGCTTCTGCAGCGTGTCCGACAAGTTCTACCCAGCAGGTATGTGTGTGCCCTGCCTTCCTCTCCTCTGCCAGGCCTCCCTGAGGCGTCCATCCCAATTTCTTTATTTGGGAAGATGCCTGCACTGCTACCTGGGCCCCCCCACACCTGCAGGCTCCCCAACTCCTGTCCATGTCCCCAGGCTCCATTATCTACCAGGAGAAAGACCTGAGCGGGCACTGCTACTATGCTGTATGTAGCCTGGACTGTCACGTGGTCAGGGGCAGTGACCAGACCTGCCACACCAGCACTCCCCCAGCACCTGCCACCTCCTTGACTGTGCCCACCTCGTTTCCCCCCAGTCCCGTGTCGGATGTGGGCTGCCCCAATGCTGTCCCACCCAGAAAGGTGAGTCCAGCCCCACCATGGAGAGCCTGGGTCAGGACCCAGAAGCTGTTCTGGGATGCAGCACGTGCCCGGGTGACTCTGGTCAGGGGTACTGGTGGGGTTGTCAGTGCTGGGGTTGCAGGGGACTGCCGGGCTGGCGGTGGGGCAGCAGCAGAGACTGGGAATCTCAGATCTGGTATGAGGAGGGGACAGGGCAAGGGGATCAGGCGTGTGTGGGTCCCCCCGTGCCCTCGCATGCTTGCTGTGCCCCTGTGGCTGTCTCTGGGGTTCTGTGGTGGCTGGGCAGGCTGTGGACACTGCACGCTGCTCTCTCTGCAGAGAGGGGAGACCTGGCCCATGGCCAACTGCTCCCAGGCCACCTGTGAGGGGAACCACGTCATCTCTCTGTACCCGCGGCCCTGCCCACCTCCAGTCATGCCCACCTGTGCCAATGGCTACCCTGCAATGATAGCGGCGGACAAGGATGGCTGCTGCCCTCAGTTCCAGTGCCAATGTGAGCCAGGGCACAGGGTGCAGGGTGGGGCTGGGGTCCTGGGCCCTGCTGATGCGCTGTCCACACAGGCGTCTGCAGCGGCTGGGGTGACCCTCACTACATCACCTTCGATGGCACCTACTACACCTTCCTGGATAACTGCACGTACGTGCTGGTGCAGCAGATCGTGCCTGTGTTCGGGCACTTCCGCGTGCTCATCGAAAACTACTTCTGCGACGCTGAGGACGGCCTCTCCTGCCCGCAGGCCATCACTGTGGAGTACAGGCAGGCCCGTGTCACCCTCACCCGTAGGCCCGTGCTTGGACAAATGACCAACCAGGTGGGTGGGGTGCCGAGGGGGTGGGCCGGGCACGGCACCCACCCGCCTTCATGGCACCCTGTTTCATCCCCCCGCAGATCCTCTTCAACAGTGAGGTGGTCAGTCCCGGCTTCCAGAAGGACGGCCTGGTCATCTCCCAGGTGGGCGTGAAGATGTTTGTGCGCATCCCCGAACTGGGTGTGCGGGTCATGTTCTCCGGCCTCATCTTCTCTGTGGAGGTGCCCTTCAGCAAGTTCGCCAACAACACGGAGGGCCAGTGCGGTGAGCCCTGCGCCCCCGCTGCCCTGAGTTCCACCCTGAGCCCAACTGAACCCCTTCCCTGAGCCCACAGGCCCCCCTGAGTCCACACGAACCCACATGATCTCCACCCCTGAGGTCACAGACTCCCTGAGTCCACCTGAGCCCACCAGAACCCCACACCTGAGCCCACCTGAACCCCACTCCTGACCCCACCTGGACCCACACCAGAGCTAACCTGAACCCCACACCTGGGCCCACCTGAACCCACCTGAATCCCACACCTGAGCTACCTGAGCCCACCAGAACCCAACACCTGAGCCCACCTGAACTCACCAGAACCCCGCACCTGAGCCCACCTGAACCCCACTCCTGACCCCACCTGAGCCCACCTGAATCCCACACCTGAGCTACCTGAGCCCACCTGAACCCACCTGGACCCATACCTGAGCTCACCTGAACCCCACACCTGAGCCCACCTGAACCCACACTTGAGCCCACCTGAGCTCACCTGAAACCCACACCTGAACTTACCTGAACCCCACCCCTGAACTCACCTGAACCCCACACCTGAGCCCACTCGAACCCACCTGAACCCCACACCTGTGCCCACCTGAGCTCACCTGAACCACAAACCTGAGCTCACCTAAACCCCACACCTGATTCCACCCGGGCCCACCCCTGCCTGAACCTCACAGCTTCCATCTGCTGGGGATGTGAGCGCAGGACGTCACCCAGCCCTTGGACCACCCTGCCCTGCCTCACCCCACCCCGCCCCCACCTCAGGTACCTGCACCAATGACCAGAAGGACGAGTGTCGCCTGCCTGGAGGCACCACGGTCTCCTCCTGCTCAGACATGTCCCGCTACTGGAAGGTCACCACCCCGGATCAGCCATCCTGCCAAGGGCCGCCCCCGGCGCATTGGAACCTGCCCACACCCTCGCCCGGCCCCTGCCCATCATCACCCATCTGCGAGCTGATTCTGAGCGAGTGAGGCTCTGGCAGGGATGGGAGGGTGCTCCAGCGGTGTGTCAGAGAGGGAGGCTGGGGGGAGTGGCCGGGCCATCCCTGAGCTGCCCATCCCGTGCCAGGGTGTTCTCGGCATGCCACACGGTGATCCCCCCACGGCCCTACTATGAAGGCTGCGTGTTTGACCAGTGCCACGTGGGCAACTCCGACGTGGTCTGCTCCAGCCTGGAGCTCTACTCCTCTCTCTGTGCTTCCCACAACTTGTGCATCGACTGGCGAGGCCTCACCAACCACACGTGCCGTGAGTGCCCACAGCAGCTGGGGTGGTCAGGGCGGGCTTCCGGGAGGAGGGGCAAAGCCCATTCTGAGGTCCCTGGGGAGGAAAGGGGGCCTCCAGGCTGGGGAGTGGGGCACGGGTGCTGGCCATGGGCCCCTCTCCCCGGGTTCAGCCATGCTTCCTCCCCGCAGCCTTCACCTGCCCCGACAACAAAGAGTACCGGCCCTGCGGCCCTGCCAACCCCACCTACTGCTACGGCAATGCTAGCCTCCTGTAAGTGTTCGCCCTCCGGCCCTGCCCATCCCTGCTGGCCTGTCTGTCCCCACCAACCCTCTTCCTGCCCACAGGGCCCTTCCAGAAGGTTCCATCTCTGAAGGCTGCTTCTGCCCCGAAGGCAGCATACTCTTCAGTACCAGCACGGAGATCTGCGTGTCTACGGAGTGCACGGGTGCGTCCTGGTCCACGAGGGGCCTGGCCGGAGGGGGCAGGGCCTCGCCGGGGGCGGAGGGGGGGCAGGATGGGGCCAGGCTGGGCCGGAGTACTGCTGACCCGTGATCCTCTCTGCCTGCAGGATGCCTTGGGCACCATGGGGAGCCCGTGGAGGTGAGTGTGGCCCCTGGGAGATCCCGGGGAAGGACGAGGCTCCCTCTGTGAGTCCCCCGGAGCCCTGTTGGGTGCCCTGGGCAGGGCCCCTCTCGCCCCGATCTCTGGGACCCACACTGTCCTCTAGGCTGGGGCTCCCCCACACCTTTCTCTTGGGTCCCCTGGGCTGAGTGACCGCTCACTGTATCACTATCCCTGCAGCCCGGACAGACAGTGGTCGCTGACTGCCAGGAGTGCACCTGTGATGCCGCCAGTCGGACCCTCACCTGCCGCCCCCAGACCTGCCCGCCACCTCCTGCCTGCCCTGCCCCTGGCCTCGTTCCAGTCCCCGCCGTCCCCCAGGCTGGCCAGTGCTGCCCCACCTACAGCTGCGGTGAGCTCTGTGATAGTCACACACTCGCGCCTGCTGGTATCCCTGCGAGGGTCTGGGGTGCTGGCGGTGTGGGGGACGCACACCCGACTCCTGCCCCACTGCTGCCCCATGCCAGGGAGGGAGGAGAGCCCGTGGAGGGGCGGCGGGGTGGGGTGGGCGGGAGGGGCGCTGCTCTGAGTCTCTGCCTGCTGCAGACTGCAATGCCAGCTACTGCCCAGAGCCTATGGACTGTCCCGAAGGCTTCCGCCTGGAGCTGAGCCGACAGGAAGGGGCCTGCTGTCCCACCCAGACCTGTGGTGAGTTGGGGGCGCCACACTGGGTCCCCATGGGCAAGTCTGGGGGAGGAGCCTGTCCTGGGGAGGGACGTAACTCAGGGGCGGGGCCTCGCTCGGAGGAGGGGCCTAGTTCTGGGGCGGGGCCTAACCTCAGGGGAGTGGTCTGCCCAAGGGGCGGGGCCTAGCTCTGGGAGGGGCGTGTCTCTGGGGGGCCTTGTGGAGAGACCAGGGTGGGTGTCAGCTGCTCCTCTCTCTTGCAGTCCTCATTCCCGGCTGCAGTGTCAATGGCACTTTGTACCAGGTAGGAGACTGGGGAGGCCTCAGGACAGGGAGGCTCCTGGAGCGCACACCTCCGCGGGGGGCAGTCTCGGGGCGTCCAAGGGGGCCCAGGGGGAGGCTCCTGGGGTTACCTGGGAGGACGGCTGGCAGGGGGCTGGGGGGTCCTGCCCCAGCTCAGCACTGCTGCCCCTCGCAGCCAGGCACCGTGACCTCCTGGAGCCTGTGTGAGACCTGCAGGTGCGAAGCCCATAAGGGCACCCCCACGGACACCTTCGTGCTCAGCTGTCAGACCCAGATCTGTGACTCGAACTGCTCTCTGGTGAGTGTCACACTGCCCCCACGCTGCGCCTCAGCCCAGTCATGCCCGCGGGCTCAGGCTGCATGTCTCTGCCACCCCCAGGGCTTCGAGTACCAGCTGCGGCCCGGAGAGTGCTGTGGTGCCTGTGTCCAGGTGGCCTGTGTCGTGAATGGCAGCACCCAGCTCCGCTTTGTGAGTGTCGTGGGAGGGGGGCCGGCAGGTGGGCTCTGGCACCGTGGGGCAGCTGATCTTCGTGGAAAGGCAGGACTGGAACCTGTGGGTGCCCTGGAGGAGGGGTGCTCACCGGCCCACCTGCCCCCCGCAGCCCGGGGAGATCTGGTCAGAGCCCGGCAACAGCTGTGTGAGTCACACATGTGAGAAGCACCAGGACAGGTTCATCGTGGTCACCACCAAGAAGGCGTGTCCCCCGCTCAGCTGTTCTGTGGTGAGCCAGCCCCCACCCCCAGCTCCTGCACACTCACACGCACATACATACCTCACACGCTCACAAGGCTCTCACACACAGTAACTCACACTCATAGACGCACACACACATACATACATACATTCATACTTATTTATACGCACTCGCTTGGGGCTGGAGTGACAGCACAGCGAGGAGGGCGTTTGTCTTGCACACGGCTGACCCGGGTTTGATCTCCAGCATCCTGTATGGTGCCCCAGCACCACTAGGAGTGATTCCTGAGTGCAGAGCCAGGAGTAACTCCTGAGCGTCACCGGGTGTGATCCTCCCCCCCAAAAAAGCAAAAAAGTATATATATACTCAATCACTGATTCACTCACACACGTGCACTTACACACGCAGCCTCCTTACGTCCTCCGTCCCCCTGTCCTGCTGGTCCCACACAGCCTCTGGTTGGGGTCAGCTGCAGGGGCGCGAGCGTCTCCCCAGCACTGGCCCTGATGGCCCCCTCTGCCCACACAGGAAGAGGCTGTGCAGAGTGAGGATGGTTGCTGTCTCAAGTGCCCGTCCCAGCCCCAGACCAGTAAGTGGGTGTGCCTGGGGGAGGCAGGGCAGGCCCCCCAGCCAGCCCTGACCTCGCCCACCTCTGTGCCCCAGGGTGCGGAGTGCACAACAGGACCCAGGTCATCTGGAAGAACGGCTGCAGGTCGGCCGAGGCTGTGTCCCTGACCTACTGCTCTGGCAACTGCGGAGACACTGCTTCCATGTGCGTGAGCCGCCCAGGGCTCGGACCTGGAGGGGAAAGGCCCAAGGGTGCTCTCGGAGTCTGCTTGGGGGTGATGGCTACTGCGCGTGCCTCTGGCCTCTGAGGTCATGGCAGTCCCACGCTGGTGGGCAGTGGGCGGGGCGCCGAGCAGGGGTGGGCGGGGCAGCGGGCGGGGCTCCGAGTGGGGTGGGCGGGGCACTGAGCGGACCCGCCCACAGGTACTCCCCGGAGGCTGAAGCGCTGACGCACAAGTGCAGATGCTGCCAGGAGCTGCGGGTCTCGCAGAGGAACGTGACTCTGAGCTGCACCGACGGCTCCAGCCAGATGTTCAGCTATGCCCACGTGGAGGAGTGCGGCTGCGTGGGCCTGCGCTGCCACCGCCCTGGGGACCAGTCCCAGCAGCTGGAGCTGGAGTGGGCCGAGGAGCGGGAAGAACAGCCGAGGGAGGCGCCGGGTCAGGCAGCTGGGCGCTGGCGCATGGGGCCCCGGGGAGTCGCGCCTCACCAGTAGGGTGCCCCGCCACGCACACACGCACGCACAAACACACGCACGCACGCACACATACACACACACACACACACCTCCCCTTCCTTCCCCTCAGCTCCAGGCCCAGCTCAGCCCAGGCGCGGAGTGGCCGGCTGCGTGCCCAGTTCTCTGGCCATCGGGACAGATACCCCGGAGTGCCCCATGCAGTCCGCCACTCAGACGTAGGGCTCAGCTGGTGTCGTGTTGGGCCCCACCTGGGCCCCTGACCTGACCAATACACTGGGAGCATTTGCACTTGTGGCTCTGTGTGGTCTTTCAGCCTGTCCTCAGCCCAGTACCGGGACTGGTCAGAGGGCCTGCGGGAGAGGTGACCGCTGAGTGCCCCTGACACGAGGGGTGTCTGAGACAGGGAGGAAGGGGGCCTGTCATCTGCCAGGCTCCTGGACACCTTTGACCTCACAGTGTGCACACGTGGGCGTATATGTGTGCATGAGTCTATACACCTGCGCATGTATGTGCCTGTGGACACGTGCCTGCATGTATGTATGCATGTATCTGTGTGCGTGTGTATGTGTGTGTGCATGTGTGAGCTCTCGGCCCCCCAAAACGAGACCTGCCTGGGGTGAAGCCCCTCCCCCGCCCTGTCCCTCAGACGGCCCCCGGGAAGCCACATTGCAGAGGTGGATGCAGGGCGCCACGCACTGGTGGGGCCCTCGGACAGCCGCCACGGGGCCAGACCAAGCCGTGTGAGGAGGGGGCTCCGGGACCAATGTGACATTGGTGGTGGCGGGGAGGGAAGCCCACATCTCAGGGAAACCGAGAGCCAGGGAGGCCCACTAGGCCGTCTGACTGCCCGGGGAGGGCTCTGGGCCACGCTCACCCAGGTGCCGCCCTGTGTCTACTGGGGCCCCATGGTCAAGAGGCTGCTGTCCCTGCACAGCTGAGGGTCACCCGCCCAAGCAGCGCTGCCCTCCGAGTGCTCCCGCCCCACTGAGGCCCCGCAAACCACGGGCAGCAGGAAGTTCCGGCCCTGGGCTCTGTGACCGGCTGACCCCGCGCGTGGGCACACCCTGGCGGGAGCATGACCCCCCGAGAGGATCGTGTGTCCAGCCAGCCACCTCTTCCTCGCTAATCCCCACCCCCCAGGCAGAGGGGCCCCTGCCCGGAACCGGGGCGCAGCAGGAAGTAACCGGAGCAGGACCTCTCCACAGCCCCTGGCCCAGTTACGAAAGCTCTGTGCTGGGGGAGCCGCCGGCGGGTGTGGCCACTAGGCCACTGTGCCAACTGCTCGGAGGGCAGGTCCCATGGGGCCTTCAGGAGCTGGCCGGGGTGTCATATCCCCTCAGAGTCAGGCCAGGGCTTCCCTTCCAGTCTGGCCACGTTGCTGGACCTCTGGGCACCAAGGTCCAGTCCATGTTTGAGGGGCCAGCAAGGCGCCCAGGGGCTCCCGAGATAGGGTGACAGGGACACCGGGATCTGGGACTGAGCCTCCTGACCTCTGCCCCCGGCCTCCCCCACCACACCCTCAAGTTAGGGTCCCAGTCAGCAGAGAGAAGACCCCAGGCACCGCCTGCTGCTCCCGTCCTGACGCCAGCCTGCACGGGGAGCGACCCTGGGACACGGGGTCCCACTCAGCCCTCGCGCTGCAAACCCAGCCCCAATCCCTGCTGCCCCTCCCCGTCCCACGCCCCTCACGCGCATCCGGGCACGAAGGCATGCAGGGCCGAGGTGTCACAGGCAGTGAGCCTTGGCGGGTTCTGGGCAGAGGCCATGCATGGTGTGTGGATAGTGCAGGCCCCAAACATCACGTCGCTGGGGCAGGACTAGAGTGGGGAGGTCTTATGCCTGATGGGGGACGCGTCCTGGCACCTGGCACCCCACAGATAGAACTCTGTCCCTCAGGACCCCAACAGCGGCCCTGGAGGAAGGTTCCAGCATGAGTGCGGCCGCTGAGGCAGGGAGGTGGCTGAGCTGGGCAGCAGGGACTGAGCGGCCAGTGACCAGCCAGACCTGGTCCTAGCTTACCGCTAGCCGGGGGCGGAACAGCAGCCGAGTCCCTCCCAGGACCAGGCTGGCCAGGAAGCAATGCCCACGGCCACAAGGACAGAAGCCCAGAGACACAGCAGCCCCGGCCCCTGCACACCCTCTGGGGAAGCAGGAGCGTCTCCTTCCGCCCTTAGCCTCAGGCACCCAGTCAAGACCTGGACTGCTTCCACCAGACCACCTGCACCCCTCCCACACCTGCACCCCCACCTACACCCGCACCCCCACCTCTACCTGCATCCTACCTACACCTGCATGCCCTCTTGGCCACCTGCATGCCGCCTGGCCCCCGGCCCTAGGTGGCAGCCCCCACCACGTCACTCCCAGCGGGTCTGCCCTTCCTGTGGCCAGCCGGAGCATCTCGCTGTGTCCTCTGTCCCCTCCGTGCTCCGAGGCTGGCCAGCGAGCTCAGACCCGCTCGGGGACGGCAGGATGTGCACAGGCAGCTACTGGCAGCCCCGGAACTCTGCCCCCTGCTCCCAGCCCTGTGAGCATGGCCGCCTTCAAAGTTCACGACCCCACTCACCCTGTGCCCACTTACCAGGGTGTGGGGTACGCAGGGCCCCGGCAGGGCGCAGGGAGAGTGCCCGGGTGGGACCCATAGGCAGTCCTCCGCCCTGGCCGGACACGCTGGGGATGTGGGCAGGACCAGAGCAGCGTCATCCGAAGGGTCACGGGTCACTGTGGGTCCGGCCCCCGGGCCAGGGCGTGCGGGGCACAGAGCCAGCGCGGGTGTTTGTGCTGACACCCGGGGACCTCAGGGACCAGGACGTGGCCCACCCTCCTGTTTGCTCTCCTGAGCCTCTAATCCTGAGCAAACGCTGCCGGGGCTGCCGCTGGCTCTGGGCTTACCCTCCACCCACTCGGCACCCGTGGGCGTCCCAGATGCTGCCCTGGAGGGGAGCCGTTCCTTGCCCGCCTCAGTGGGGTGGGCCCAGAGCAGGGGCAACCTGCCTCCCTGGCCGTGTCTGTTGCCCAGGATGGAGCCCCTGCCCCACCCGCGGTGTCTTCCCACGCTTCGTGTCCACATCCCCAGGCAGCAGGCTGGGGAGAACCCCTGTTTGGGGAGATTTCCAGCAAAGCTTGGGCTCCCTGAGCCCTCCCAGCTGGGGCAGGTGGGCAGGTGGGGCAGGTGTGGGCACCCATGCGTGGGCACAGGCCTCACCCTTTACCCATACAGGTGCTGGCTCTGCCCCCTCCGGAGCTACGTGCCTTTTCTGAGACATGGGGCTGAGACGTGCTCCCTCTTCCTGAAACTGGGGGCGTCTCCTGGAAGCAGGTCAGGGTCACTCTTGGCTGGGCCAGCCAAGGACAGCCTCGCCCTCGGAACCGCGGCACGGCCGCCAGACCCGGCTGTGCTACGCAGAGTCCAGGCATTGCTCTCGGGCCCCGGATGCTCCGGAGGCCACGTGGCAGCTCTGGGATTGCCCCATGGCTTGGTGCCCTTGCAGGACACTGTCCCCTGCCCTCTGCTCCTCGGCCTTGCACATTCATGCAGACAGACCTCACGGGAGTCCCGGCAACAGAGCTCCTGGGACAGCAGAGACTGCTGCGTCCAGGGGCTGGACAAGCTCAGGCCCCAGCCCAGAACAGCTTCACCTCAGGCTGGCGCTCAGAGCAAGTCTGTGAAGCCTTGTGTTGCCCAGCACAGATCTGGGGGTAGGACCAGGAAAGCAGCTGCTCGCTGGGGAACTGCCCACTCTGGCCGGAACACGGGCCACAGGAACAAGCTTCCACGACCACACACACAGAAAAGCTCTGCAAAATCTGTTTGAAAGAAAAACAAATCTCAAAGCAGACCACTGCATCTTTCAGGAAGAAAGGAAGAAAGAAAGAGATGGAGAGGGAAAAAAGGAAGAAGAAAGAGGAAGAAGGAATGCGCAAAAGAGAGAAATAAGAAAGGAAGAAAGAAAGAAAGAAAGAAAGAGAGAGAGAGAGAGAGAAAGGAAGGAAGAAGGAAGGAGAAAGGAAGGAAGAAGAAGGGAGAGAAATGAAAAAAGAGAAAGGAAGGAATAGAGAGAGGGAGGAACAAAGAAGGGAGGGAATGAAGAGTAAATCATTGGAGACAGGAAATATATAATTTCCAGAGTCACACAATAGTCAAAACACACAATTTTAACAATTTTTATAATTTATTGTTTACTGTAAGAACCATGATTTGCACAGTGATTTATAGTTGGCTTTTAGGCCTATAATGTCTCGACACGAATCCCACCACCGTTGTGAACTTCCCTCCCCAAAGTGCCTGTTCTGCCTCCCCACCACCCACTCCTCACCCCTGCTGCCTTGACAGGGACATTACAAAGCTCAGTGGTTGCAGCTTCAAAATACCCAATTTCCAATCAGGAGATGACAAGGCTTACAGAGAAACAAGAGAAAATGACCCACTCACGGGAACACAATTAAGTAGCCAAACCACCCTGAGGAAACCCAGAGATCGCTTTTACCAGACAAAGACTCTAAACTAAACAGTTATCTCAAAGAGCTAAAGACAAATATGAACAAAGAATCAAAGGAAGTAAAGTGGAAAATGACATACGGACAAAACCAAGTATGAACAAAGACAAAAATATTTTTTAAAAAATTCATTCTGGGAGGGGGTATGGTGCCGCCAGCGGGTCAATCTGTACCCGTGAGGCGAGGGCATCAGCAGCCTGATGGCGCCTTCAGACTTCCAGATACCCCAAAATTGCTGCTGTGCCTTTGGCCAGACCCCAGAAACTTGGGGCAAAGTTTACCAAGAAAGTAAACGGCCAAAAATTAGGTATGTGGGAGACACACCCACAAACCACCTCCGGCTCAGCTATATAATTGGAGGCCTGGCCTCTCTGGTTCCTGATCGAACTGCTTAACGGCCATGATCCCAGAGACTCAGAAACAAATCTCAAAACACAGTGGCTTTTGGCAGAGATGCATCCGGTCCCCAAAGTGTGTTACCGGCGTGGGACCACCCCAGGAGGGAGAGGGTGCTGTCCCTCCACCTGCTCCCCCTAGGCGGCTCTGTGGCTGCCATCCTCCAGAGGCCATTGGACAGTCAGGTTTGGGCCCTCAGTGACGAGACACACGGGCCCTCATGGGATGGGGGTGGAGCCGACTCTTTCTCCCCGCCTCAACGAGACCCCGAGTCAACACCCATGAACGGCCTCTCTGGCTCCTGATCAAGCTGTTTAACAGCCATGATCCCAGAGACTCAGAGACAAACCTCGAAACCCAGTGGCTTTTGGGAGATATGCGTCTGGATCCCACACTAGGTTACTGTCGTCAGGCCACCCCAGGGGAGAAAGGGTGATGTCCCTCCACTGGCTCCCCCTTGGCAGCTCAGTGGCCACCATCCTCCAGAGGCCACTGGTGGAGCTGGCCCTTTCCTCCCCGCCCCAGAGAGACCCCGAGTCGCTGCCCATGAACGGCCTCTCTGGTTCCTGATCAAGCTGCTTAACGGCCATGATCCAAGAAACTCAGAAACAAATCTCGGAACCCAGTAGGTTTTGGCAGAAATTCCTCCAGATTTAATTGTTAAAATTTCAGAATTCCAAAATCACGTGGCCACTACTGTGGCCATGCGATGTCATATGTTATTTGTAACAGGCAACAGAAAACCTTAAACCCAAAAGCTTTTTGTTGCCTTTTTGGCAGATCTGAGTGTTGGGTAAAATCCCAAATAATAATGGTGGGTCTGGTGTTGAAATATTGACAAATATAATCAAAGGTAAAGGTAAAGTCCCTCCCGTTGTTCATCGATTTGCTCGAGCGGGCCCAGTAACGTCTCCATTGGAGACTTTGTTGTTACTGTGTTTGGCATATCGAATACGTCACGGGGAGCTTGCCAGGCTCTGCCATGCGGGCGATATACTCTTGGTAGCTTGCCGGGCTCTCCGAGAGGGGCAGAGGAATCGAACTCGTGTCGGCCATGTTGGCTGCGTGCAAGGCAAACGCCCTACCGCTGTGCTATCGCTCCAGCCCTATCAAAGTAGAGGGAGAGTAATGAGGAAATCATCTGCCCCACAGGTAGGGGGAGGTTGTCGGATAGGGGGTACACTGGGGTTTTTTGTTGTGGAAAATGGGCAATGGTGAAGGGATGGGTATTTTATTGTATGACAGAGACTTCAATAAACTTGCAGGCTATCGAATGTAGCCTGCCCACAGGGCAGAGTCTGGCAAACTCCCCGTGGCGTTCCAAATATGCCAAATACCAGTAACAATGATGGGTCTCATTCTCCTAAAGAGCCTTGAATATAATCTCAGGGCTAGGATGAAAGAGACGTTACTGGGGCCTGCTCGAGGCAATCGACGAATAACAGGATGATGAAATGAAAAATGAAATGACAGAGACTTAAACCCAAAATCTTTGTAACTGCTCTCACGGTGATTCAATAAATAAAATTATAAAAAAGGGAAAAAATAATTCTGGGGCTGAAAAGTATAATGTAAACAACAAAGAGATTCAATAGCAGATTTCAGGTGATGCAAAAAAGACTTGGAGAACTTGCCTGAGCTTTGGGGGAGGGATGAGTGGATGGAGCCCAGAGGCCCTGCTGCAACCACACAGGACAAGGGTGCTGGCAGAGAGGAGGGAAGGGAGGACTTTCTCTTTGGAAGAATAGTGGCTGGAAATGTCCACCAAGTCCAAATCCAATGAGGATAGGCTAATAGGAGTTGCTATCGAACGACCTTATCATCAATATAATGGCATATCTTATAAGACAGAGACAAGGAAAGAAGCCCACATCGCTTAGAGAGAAGAAATTCACCACATACAAGACATCCTGAAACTCCTCAGAAATTTTGGAAGCCTGGCACCAGGAAGACAGCACAGTGGGAGGGCATTTGCTTTGCACTTGGCCGACCAGGTCTGATCCCCAGCCTGTCCCTCAAGCCTGCCAGGAGTAATTCCTGAGTGCAGAGTCAGAAGTAAGCCCTGAGTACCACCAGGGGGGTTCCCAAAATAAAAAACAAACAGAAAGAAAATCTTGGAAACCAGAAAGATAGCAGATGACTTACTTGGAGTGCTGGAAGGAAGAAAACAATCTGGACTGGAGAGATAGCACAGTGGGGAGGGTGCTCGTCTTATACACGGCCGACCACATTTGGTCCCCAGCACCCCATATGGTCCCCTGAGCACCACCAACAGAGACCCCCGAGCACAGAGCCAGGAGTAACTCTTGAGCAGTCAGGTGTGGGCCCCCAAACGAAAACAAACAAAAGAATCAAGCAAGAATTCTGCATCTGTCAAAATAATCCTTTAAAGATGAGGAGAAATTTAAGCCGTTTTCATCTCAGTGAAAGCCGAGAGCTCTGGCACTCAGTGCAGAGATGGGGGCAGCAGGCAGAGGACAGCAGCTGGGCAAAGGCTTCGGAGTCTCCTGCCAGGCAAGTGTGAGCCAGCAGAAAGGACAGCGGAGTGTGAGTGTGGTGTATGTCCACTTTTCAACCCAACAAAGGGTTATAAACATGAATCATAAAATGGCCATAAATCTGTTGTTGGGCACACAGGCGGAAAAGATGGGATTTGTTATAACAAGAGCTTTAGATGAATGGAGCCTGTGTCTGCAGCT